TTAAAAAGTTTTTTTTTTCAATTACTTATTATAATTATTATTCGTCCTTTTATAATAAGCATCCTCCCGAAAACTCGTCATAACCCAATTTTTTCCATTGCAGCTTTTTATGAGAGCTTTCATTTCAGTAAACGCTAACCTTTTAGATACGAATTATTACTTACTTTCAAGGTCGAGGTTTAAATCTGGCACCATTGTGTCACCACTCCATTTGCAAAAGATTGAAAGTACTCCTCCCATTTCGAAATGTGTGTAAAAAAGGTAAATAACACTGCCAGGTGCTATGATGTAAATTTTGACTAAATTTTTTGTATGCTAGATGGTCAAAACCAACAAAAAATCGTGGGACGGGATAAAACTAAGTTATGGTTATGATGGAATGAGTGGCGTGATGCTTAACAGTTACATTTTAATGTATTAGATGCCACACCAACACAGGCAGAAAGGGCTCTTTATGAACAAGTTTCTACGCTTCTCCGACCCACTGAAACACTTTTGGATTCTTTACGGCGTTACGAAGGGTGTGGTGATCTAATTAGGAAAGCTATTTCTAACCCGACGCCTGACAATGAAGAGGAAGCTTGGCAGGCTGTTCAACCAGTAGTTGCAAAACTAAAAAAATATTTTGAATATTCAACTTCTTTGGGTAAGAAATTTCATAATTACAAATGGGCTGGTATTTATAATTTGGTATTCATGCCCCCAACAAAGTAGGGATATCTCAACAACTGCCTGACCAAATTTGATGAAAATTTTTTATTTGAATTCAACAATATAGAGATAAAATTAAAATTTTTTATTGAATTTATCAGGTAATTTCGAGATATCTTCGCTCAAAGTTTAAAAAAAAATTTTTAGGCATTTTTGTTGATAGAAACAAAAATTTAAGCAAATATATCTTAACTACTGATACAATTAGATGAAAATTTTTTTATTTACTTCACGGATTGTAAAATTCAAAATAAATTTTTTTTTATCGAATATGGCCAGATAGTCTTCAGATAAATTTGCTCAAATTTTAATTTATTTTGCCGGCCCTTACAAAAAAATAATACCAATATCAAAGGTTGCTAATTAAAATTATTATTAGAGGATGCTCTACCCGAGTTGTTAAAAACTCTTTGTGAAGGAAATGTTCGAAAAAATATTGAACAATATCAAGCACTCACAAAGTTATTGGCAAATATACTGGATTTCGCTTTTGAGTTTGACTATCTGAAGGTTATTTTCTTAAAAATATAAAATAATAAATATGTTATAAAATTATTCAATTTTCATAATAAAGTGTAAAAATAATTAGATGAAAACACCATCAATTCAAAACGACTTTTCTTATTATAGAAGAACATTGAGTAGAGGAAAACATACAAATGAAGTGAGTTTTATAAATATTACTATTATATTATTATCTATTTGTCAAACTATTATTTGGTTTTTATATCTTACTTGTTTCACATAATGTAATATATTACGATTTTAGACAGACTTGAGAACGGCTATGATTGAGGATGAATTAGCGAACCGAATTTCCTTATTTTATGCATATCCAACGCCAATGCTGAAAACTATTACAGATGT